GCATGAGCAGAAGAAAAAAAAGGGTGCGGAGACCTGTGTTCTCTTTTGGCAGCATGAGAGCAGAGGGAGAAAAAGCAGATTGCTTTTTTCGGTTGTTTTGAAGAGGGTTTTGTGCATCCTTTTTGAGAGAGAGATCGTGAGGGATTTGAGAGATTGTTTGAGGGTTTAGGTTGAGAGATTGTAAACCTTAGTTGTATTCTCTCCCTCTAATTATAGATCTCCCCCTCCTTACCCCGTGGACGTAGGCAACTTGCCGAACCACGTAAAATAGTTTGTTTTGCTGTGATTTATAATAGCTTGTAGGTTTATTGATCTTGTCATAAATAAGATGAGAATCACGTCCGCAGTTCCAAGGTCCTTTATACTGAACTGTGTCGACAGAAATTTCTTGGTAGATGTTACTATCTCCAAATCACTCCCGATGATGAGCATATCATCCACATAGAGGCAGATGACCACCACCTTTCTTTCAGCGACCTTGATGTATAGGCACTTGTCAGATTCACTGACTTGATACCCATTGTTGCGAACAACCCCATCAAATTTCTCATGCCAGAGTTTTGGTGCCTGCTTAAGTCCATATAATGACTTAACAAGTTTACAAACCTTACCAGCTGGAGCATCAAGTCCTTCTGGTTTCTCCATGTAGATCTCTTCTGTGAGATCTCCATTGAGAAAGGCAGTCTTCACATCCATCTGATGTATGACGAACCTTTTAATCGCCGCCCATGCGATAAGCACTCTGATGGTAGTAATCCTGCAAACTGGTGCATAAATATCAAAGAAGTCTATACCTTCCTTCTGAGAGAATCCTTTTGCCACCAGTCTTGCTTTGTACTTTTCAATAGTACCATCAGGACGGAGCTTCTTCTTGAAGATCCACTTGCAACTGATAGGCCTTGCACCTTCAGGTACATCCACCAGCTCCCAAGTGTGATTTTGGATCAATGAATCCATCTCATCATCTATAGCTTCTTTTCACAGAAGAACGTCTGTTGAATGCATTGCTTCTTGAAAAGTCCGTGGATCTCCTTCCACATTATAGGTGATGAAGTCATCTCCAAAATCTTTTTGTCTTCTGACGCGTTTGGAAGATGGTTCGATAACTCCTTCATCATTGACTGGCTCCTCTTGTGCATTTGATGTACTAGTATTCTCTGCTACATCTTTGAGCAATAAGCCTTTATGTTTGATAAACTTATCCTCAAAGAATTCTGTATCCCGAGCTTCAATGATGAAGTTGGTTCCAAGGTCCAGGAACCTGCACGCATTGCTATCTCCAAAAGTAATGTTAGCAAAGTCCCCTAGCTTGATCATCCCCGATGATGAGTGCAAGATCATTATAATGCACCAAGGTTTATTGACGCACTCCCTACGCTTAGCAGTAGCAATTCTCTTGTCCTGAAAAAGATGCGGTGCATAACGTTCTCCCACTTAAATGTAGTGTTAAACATATTATTGATATGTGTAGAAGCCATATTATAAGCAATTCTCTTAAACCTTTTGTTAGGTTTGTAATTTGGTCTAATTTACAAAAAAATTAGAACAAATTCGAGAGTTCTAATTTATAAGGTTATAAAAATTAGAGAAAATTAGACCAACTTTTTGTAATTTACAAAATTTACAAAAATTATAACTCTGACTACACACTGACAAAAATTAGAACTTTAAAAAAATTTCATCATTTCATAAGAACATGAAGAAATTCAGAAGGGGGTAACCGCGTAATCCAAATTTCATCACAATAGTTCTAAAAAATACAGAAATTATACCATAGATTGCTAATTTTGTACAAATCTAGCAAGAAGAACAAAGTTTTTCCAAGAAAGGCGCTGCCTTTTTTGCAAGATCCAGTAAAAAATACAAACATGAGGAATCGAGGCTTGATAAATCACAAATCAAGCATAAAATCAACATCACAATAAACCCACAGCCATCAAAGAGGAGCTGAGGCGCGAAGAGTGAATAAAAAACAAGGGAAAGCAATGATAACCCTAGCCATTAATAAGTTTTCCCCAAATAAGCTGCAAATTTGATAATAGTACAGAATTTATGTGATTTTCACCACTTTTTCTTGTTTTGAAAGGAAATAAGGGAAAGGCGAAGAGCTAAATCAGAGGGGTTTTCTGTGGGTGGATAGGCAAAGAGGGGAAGTGAATCGATGTGGTATTTTAAAAAAATAGAAAATTGCTTAGAGCAAGCAATTTTCAAAAAGTTATGGGTCATAGCATGCAGTACACCAGTCCGTTACTAGGCAATGAGTTGCACTTTGGCAAAATGTGAACACCATAAAATTTTAACAAACACCTTGTTAAGTATGGGGATTATGATAAAACATCCCCCACTCCTAAGCTTTTAGATATAATCTAAGGGGTTTTCTAATATTTTAAAAGTTAAGGAGGTTTCTAATAATCATCTATGAACCATAGTAGATTGTAGAGATGACTTCAAAAAGATAATATATATTCAAACGACTTAATCAAAGAAAATTCAACCCAACTAGAATTTATTAGCATTCACACAAGCTTAAAGTACGCTCCAAAATAATGGGGTATCTTAACAGATATTGTATAACCTGGTCCTGAACCAATATTATATGACCTAGTCAGTATAAATGACTTAATCAAGAACAAATTTTATATAATTTTTGTTTTTTTCCACCTAAATGTCTTATTCAAATAATTATTAATTTTAAAAATAAACATTGCATGTGTCAACTTACCTTTTCTACAATAAACAAATAACTATAACAAATCTTACCCTTTGCAATTCGAAACATCAATAAATAAGTATGCCATCATTTCTCTCAATTAATCTAATTATCGATGAGTGATCAATCGCTTCACATTTGCTTGCCTTACGACTGGTCTTAAAAATTAAAATTTAATCTAAATTATTAATCTGTTTGTAAATATTTTTCATGGATTATAAATCATGAATTATCAAACAAGAAACTTATGTTCTTTTATTACACTGCTTAATTAATAAAAGTGAAAATTTCTTGGAGCAAGCAATTTTCAAAAAGTTATGCACTCTTTCCACCCCAACTAGAGTCAAACCCATTTAAACTCTTTGACCCAACTTTCCATGCTAAAACACCCCTAGCCTAACATTGTATAAAGTCCATATATTGTATTTTAAAGTATTGCCCAGCTTACCCTTTTGTACCCTTTTTGTGAAGTGATAATTTTTTGTCTCATTAGACAGCCCCTCATTAGATCGTACAATAAGAAGTGATGGATTCAAGAGAAGAGAGAAGAATGATATTAATGGCTGTGAGAGATTTATTGGAGGGAAAGGAAAAATTGGAGGGAAACATTCAAAGTTCCCTCCAAATAATGTCTCATGTCAAGGTAATATCTTCTTCCCTCTTTAGATCTACTCAACAACCTTCAACAACTTTCAACAACTTTCAACAACCAAAATGCTCTTAACTCTTTCCTCTTAACTTCTCCAACAACCAAAATGGAAGAATCTTTAACATGTGTGATTTCGCTAAACACCAATGCAACCCTCATTAAAGTCAATTATGCAACAACTTTAGCTGAATTGAAGATGCATGCTGTGGAGAATTTAAAAGTACGAGTATGAAAGTTGTTGATAAGTTACTCTCTCCAGAAGTTTCCCAATGTCTCGTTTGAGCTTGTAAAAGATGAAGATATTCTCAACATGATAGATTATCATCATTTAATGGGGGTAAATATGATAACCATGACTATTACTGAAAGAGATGAAGGATTTGCGCATGCCACAGGGACAAAAATAGGGACTGAATTAGAGTTTAAGTAAGTATTCAAAAGATCCTTTTTAGGTTCTGTATACACGTTATAAGGGGAACTGTGATACTTACATCTTATATGTGAACTGTAGACATTACAGTGATATATCGACTTTATTTGTGACATATACAAGTTAAGAATTATTTGTAATTGCCACACGCGACTTATATGTATGTTATATTCAATTTGCAGTCTTCCTACTGTAAACTCACAGTCATCAGAGCATATCCGGGAATCAGAGAGGATCCCAAATGACAATCCTCAAGGAGAGCATGAGTGGATGATGGATGACATAGTAAGTGACTCGACAGGAATCTCTGCATGGTGGCACAAGGCAATTACTGGAAAAGTGCGGCAATTTGAAAGCGTGAAAGAAGTTAGAATTGCTCTTATATACTACTCTATAGCTAAAAAGTTCTCTTTCAAATATGTTAACAATGAGCCAAAACGCATTCATGTTATTTACATGTTTAGAACAGAAACAAAATGCTCGTGGGTGCTTTACGCTTCACCATTGAGCCATGTGTCGACTTTTGCTATAACAAATTTTGTTCCTTAACATATTTGTGGATAACATAACATCATAGCTGGTCACTCTAGAGCATCGAGAAGATGGATTGCGGCTATGCTACAATTAATTATGAAGAGGCGTCCATATATCACCCCAACTGACATTAGAAAGGAATTACGCTCTCAATATGGTTTAAAAGTTAATTATTCTAAAGCTTGGCGTGTTAAAGAGACAGCAAAAGACCAAATATTTGGTTGCGCAAGGCATTCATATAGTTTACTACCCTGGTTAGTCCATTAATTTGTTAACCTTAATTATCGGAGCGAAGACGACGACGAGCTTCCTTCTTCTGGCCATAGGGGGCGACAACGAAGCAAAAACGACTAGGGGGCAACAGATCGAAGCTGTAGGGGTTCTCTTCGGCAGTCGGGGTTCTCGTCGGCGATGGTGGAGGAGCGAGATTTTGAGAGCAAGAGGATGATGGGAAAATTAGTTACAGAGTGTTTTCGAAGATCGTGCTCAGAAGGGAGATTTTTAGAGCTGTTATTATTTTTTTTATTTTGATTTTAAATGAGAAGGGCAATTTCGGAATAACTTTATTGGGTAGTGGGCGTGTACAATATGGGGGGATAGTTACACTAAGTATGAGGATTGGAGAGCATGAGTTTTTTAGCTAGAAATGAGGATGCATAACCTAACTTTTTGGAATTCCTGCGAGAATTTTCCCTTAAAAAAACCAAGAATAGATTTTGTCCGATGTGGCACTGTTGTCAAGGGAGGATAAACGCTTCTGCGCTCTTTTAAGCGAACCAAACGCGCCCTTATGCAGAAGTGATTAGAGTTCACAGCAAGCTTTCTATAATTTAACAAATCAAGCTAGGTTTAAATGCTAATTATCACCGGTCTCATTGTTGCGTAATTCGTGGTGGAGGAAGAGATCCCTCTATCATCAGGAAATCCAAAAATCTCGCGCGATGGATTCAGAAGGTAACGGTAACGAAGGAAACCCTAATTCCTTTTTCCTTTTCTTCTCCTTTATTTATTTATTTATCATTTTCTACCTTTTATCTTATTTTCATTCCAAATTCTCCCAAATTCAATCTCGTTGCTGACCCCAAATGATCTCAATTAGGGCAAAGGACTTCATCGAATCCTCAGGCCACGCTCACGGCGCTGGTGGGCAAGAGGGAGAAGCTCAAAGAGGAGCTCCGGATGATCGAGAGACAAGTAGGGTTTTTCTTCTCTCGAAATAAATTCACTGATTAATCTAATTTTTTGTGAAATTCACAGTGAAAAATAACTATGAATTAGGCGTTATTGTATCTCTTTGAAGTAATTCCTCTTATAAAATTTCCTACTGCAAATTCAAGCTTTGTAGTTTGTTATGATGAAAATAAATGCACTTTGTCGTTTGCATTGGGCGTGCACAAAAATACCATTACCCAAGGAAATATCCGTAACCATATCTGTATGCATTCGGATATGGTTACAGATACGGATATGTAGTGAATTATTTGGATATGTTTCCTAAATATCCGAGTATGTTATATAGTTGTAACAATTTCAATCCTTAGATTAATGGCTTTGATGTTAATTTTGATGATCAAGAGAGCTAATCCTTGCCTTTTTCGGGTAACATATTAATGAACTTTCTTGTATCATATGAACTATATTTTTTCAATATCAAGTTCTCTCATATCCGATTTGTATCCAAATGTATTCTTGTATCATATGAACTATAATTTTTCAATATCTAGTTTTCTCATATCCGCTTTGTATCCAAATGGATATCGACGTATATATCCGCATGTATATCTGTATTTGATTTTAGCGGATATGGATATGAATTTCCCTAACCGAGGCATATCCATGTCCGTGTACGTGATTGGGAAGCGGATACGGATATGGTAAGTACTATATCCAAGCCGTATCTGGACCGTATGCACCCTTTTTTTAAAAGGATTACATCCATTCAGATGTTAAACCGTATGCACCCCTAATTTGCATTCACGGGACATTAGAAACAAATACGTATATGATGGCTTCTATCTTCACCTCTTACTTGTATTATGAGACTGTTTTATGTTGCACGCTGGCATTTGCGTATTTCATAAAGTATGCTATCATCTTGTAGGTCTATGACTTGGAAACTAGCTACTTACAAGAGTCAAGCCAATATGGAAGTGTGCTTAAAGGTTTTGAGGGATTTCTATCGTTGTCAAAGAGTACCAAGTAAGTAGCTTGACTTCAGCAACATTTCATTCATTGTAAGCTTTCTGTTTCAGTATTTTCACCTATCTCTTCAATGATAAACCTGAGTTGGTTATGTTGATTCTTACAATCATTGGTTTAATTTGACTATACACTATCAATTGCATAAATTTAATTGTTATACACACTATGAGTCGACAACAATGCTTGAGGTAATATGTATATGGTAGATCCACATGCCATTCTTTTGTTTGTGTGGGTGTGTGCACGGGCGCACATGTTACTAATATTCAACATACTTTGAATTCTTGACGTTCATCATGCTTATCACCAAATGTTACCTCTTAATTCTTCCTATGGATCCTTTATGTCCTCCCGAGTACTTGTTAGATGAATTTGAAGGAAGTGAGTACGATAGAAGAACACAGCTGAAATCAGTCAACCGTACTATTTTATACTTTTCTATAATGGATGTTTCATATCTCCAAATATATTTGCTTGGATTAGATTATGCACAAACTATTTGTTTATATCTTATGTCACTTATAGATGGGGCTAAGACCCCACCTCTTCTTTCTTGCCACCTATGTAATAATAAAGATCCTACATAAGGTGGCTGGATACATCCTAAAAGTTGGCAACTTGGCAGAATGATCTAATGAGCAACTATTACTAGATGACACTCTTATCCTTATGCCTAGAGATCATCGATCCTTGATAACCTCAAAGCTTTACTCCTTAGATTCTCAAATATTAACAGGGTACAAAGTTTATCTTTTTAAATCATGAATCAACAATCTCAGACTGAATATTGAGGTGATTTATTTTGTGTACTCTGTATAATTTGTTTATACAAAAATTCAAATTGTATAAAAATACTTGTCAATACTAGGAAACGATCTTAGACCGAATATCAAGGTATTTTGTGCACCTTGGATGTGTACTCTGTATGATTCCAATTTTTTCTTGATTATCAGCTCATGGCTAAAGTATTTCGTTTATATCCTTTTACTAGTATCAAAAGGAGGATTATTTCATATGATACCACTTGTATGGTAATATGAACTTTGTTTGAATTGTGCCTTCAGCATGAAGCGATCCAGGAAGTTCCAGCCTGAAGATAGGCTATTCTCCTTGTCATCAGTTACCTCACCTGCTGTAAGTATTGGAGGTTCCATTTGAGAAATGTTTACTCTTCTGGATCACATAACATAGATATAATATCATTTTACTGGATGTGGGTAATGTTCACTTTTCTGGATCACATGACATTAGATAAAACATCATTTTACTGGATGTGGGTGCTCGGTTATGCAGTCTTCACGTGTCAAAAAAAGAGCTATCTTTGTTTAAGAAAACAGTGAGAGTTATATCATTGGGCATTGTTGGAATGGTGAATTTAGCAAACACGTTCAATAGGATGAGAATTCTTTCATCTTTTTGTCCTGGGTCAACATATATCTTGTCATAAGCATCAAACAGCGAATTCAGGCGTTAGCTTTCAAATTTTCTTCATCATTGAGCAAGTATTTTATAATTCTGTTTCTATGTGGAAAAATATTAGCATCTTAAATATGCAATTCTTCTTCAAACTTGATGTTCTATTAATATCCTAATATCAGTTCTTGTTTTTGCTAATAAACAGAAATACATATTGTAAGGGTTTTGAGATAATTAAAAATATGCCAACTGGATATCATTAATATTCTGATTTGAATTGAAAATCTATGTGAAAATCTTAAGTTTAATGCTGTGTATGGAATCTTAAGTTTAATGCTGCATGTGGAATCTTAACTTTAGTGCTACATATGGAATCTGATTTCTCTATATTTTATGTGCATTTAAAGTTAGATTAGGATTACATGTCATTGTAAGTGTTGGCTAACCAAAGAGGCCACTCGAAAGTGGTTTAAAGTTTGCACCCTCTCTTCAGATCACCATCAATAGCTATATCTTATGAAAACCTCAAGCCTTCACCACTTCTTCTGTACGAATCTAATGATCTCAAACTGAAAATGTGAACTTAATCATGTACTCTGTATGGGCCTGAACTGGATTCTACACCTTCAACTAGTTTCAGTCTCAACATGAATTACACAAAAAGTTAGAGCAATATGATATTATAATTTATGTTTCTGGAGCAATTTTAAATTCCAGCCTAACTTCACAGCCTAGACTGGATTGAAGAATATAAACAATCTGGCATCTGGTCTATTTTCAGGTGGAAGAACATGCAGTTGGACGAGATGGTGAGCCTGCGCTAAAAATATAGTGGCAGTAGTGGTTTTCATTTTGATGTCATCTTTCATTTTGTTTCCCTTTGTACTTGATGCCAGATGGAAGATCTGATTATGGTTCCAGTCGTTCCAAAGGTGGAAGCTTTTTTGCAAATGGACAGTAAGTGCACTTTATTCACGAAGCATTAGAGTTGGTATTTGTTTTTAGGATTTTCTCCTAGATACCCCCTTATATTTTGGGTCAATTTACGTAAACCACCTTATATTTCAAATTTATACCCAAACCACCTACAAAGTTAGTTTTTCTTCCGGTCAACCACTGGACCCTCACTTTACTGGTAAAAGTTCCCTGAAATTCTGACAATACCCACACATAATCTCATGTGGAAAGCTTGCAGAGCATCAACAAGAGAGGTCATGTGGTTTACACGTGAGATTGAGGTATTGTTGGGATATGTAGGAAACTTTAGCAGTAAAGTGGGTTCAGGTAGTTAATTGGAAGAAAAACTTCGTAGGTGGTTTAGGTATAAATTGGAAAATATAAAGTGGTTTGCGTAAATTGATCCTAAATATAAGGTGATTTCTAGGAAAATAACTTGTTTTATTTGGCTGGCTTTTAATTGTGATAGATTGAAATTATTATTATTATTATTATTATTATTATTATTATTATTATTATTATTATTATTATTAATTTGCTTCCACATTTAAATGTTAATAACCCTTTTTCTGTTGATAGTGGTGAAAAAACAAAGAATTGGTAAAAGAAGGTGCGTGATTTGTCAAGAAGTTTTAGAAGAATGCATCAAAGAGAATTTCGAATTCCAGAAAAAGGAAAAAGATAGCTTGAACAAGTGAACACCATATAGGCTGATGGTAGCACGACGAGTTTTAACCATTTCGTAATAAGTAAAACAGACTGATATATTAGCAGTATAAGCAAGAATTCCTGGGTAGTTTGTCAGGATGTTATGAATAAATAGATTGTTTGCTTGTACATCAATACTAGGGAGTATTTGTATTGTTTGCTTCATATAGATAAGAATACCATCTGAATATTGTCATATTCTGTGTCAAATGCAACCAGTAGCCGGGCATTTTTTAATATGACTAAGATTTAGGATTGCTTTTAACCACAAAAATTAATCTATATACCAATGGAAAAGATTTTGTTTTACACTGTAACACTAAATGGACTCTAGATATGTAGTCATGTTCTTGCATTTTCAGATATTCAGATATGTATTCTATTATGTCGGTCTATGCAACAAAATTTATATCCCTTTCTATATTTAAAATGAACAGATTCAGTATCCATATTTGTCAAAAGAACAAGTATAAAATTCGTTCACATCTATCCATTTACACCCGTAATCATTAGGCTAAGGAAAAGGTGACAATGAATTCGAGTTATCTCAGCGTTATATTTTATTTTTACAGAAGTTTGTTGTTATAGTGGAAATATTTCCCCCCTTGTGATTGATAATTGGACATGACTGCAAACTTTTTGGCTTCATTCTACAGAGGGAAACCAAAGAAGGGAGGAAGAATACCACCGAGGGAGGGGAGGAGAATTCGACCACCATCAATCCAACATGACATGGATGATGATGATGATGAGGATATGGATCTAGGCATGAGATAAATCATATGCACTGGAAAACATTGCATCCGTTTTTGTTAAAGAGTCCATATAGTTTTTATATTCAGCATGTTTTATTTCTGAATTCAGCCTGATGTTTCTATCAACTTCCCATTTCAGATTATCCAGTGTAAAGAACATGGTACTTTGTTATAGAATTCTGTATCGCATTTCAAACGGATTGCCCAGTGTAAAATAACATAAAAAGGTACGATACCCATCGTATTAATGGCACACTAAAAACGTGTATAAATGCCCGCTACTGGATTAATATTAACCAAAGAATGCCTACCCTTTGAGATCAGTGCAACGGACTAAAAGTACTGGGTATTCTTCTGCATTAAACTGCTAAAAAGAAGTGGCCAGTGTTACTTTCTGATGGGGGTTGGAGCGGGGGCTCCGATCCGAAAGTAGATGGCTCCCGAAAGTGCTGCCTTCGGCGCCAACCCAGATCCGATGGGAAAGCATGAGATTCTCGATATTGTGAATTTTGGTGGATGCTCGAATCTGAATATAATTTGAAAGGGGGAGATGGTAGATTTTTTTTATCGTCGATACATTTCCAGAGTCGTGTTGTAAGACCTTGGTGGCGAGGGATATTAACTCATTAAGAGACGATCGGAGAGGATTCGGTGATAGTGATACTCAAGCGAGGGTCGTCGTTGGAGTAAGTAATCGTATTCGAGTGATTGTGGCATCATCGGAGGCGAATGATGTCGGATCTCGAGGCTGTGGCGGAGAAATTTTAGATAACTAAGCCTCACACCTAGGGGCTTCACACCCAAGGCCTTCACAACCCAATAAAAGGCAAATCACATGCCAAGCAACACTTCACATGCTCGAGAGAATTCTCAAACTCAACTTTTTTATTCATCAATATCTATTCCTCATAGCGGATTATATTTCTTATTTATGGGAAAAGAAAGCGACTAAACACATAAGGAAGTAAATAAAAATCCTAATGAAATCAAAACTAACAAAACTAAAACATGCAGTCAAATTAAAATCCTAGCTAAAATAGAAAGAGATTTCAAAAATCAAATCCTAAAGAAATCCTAGCTAAAAAAAGATTACATAGGATAAAATAAAATCCTACAAAAAAGAAAAAGAAAATATTCTAATAAATCCTAATCGCATTACATGGAGAGTTCACGATTGTCCTACATCAAATCTCCTCTTGTTTGAAAAGGCTCGACCTCGAGTTTTATAATGAGAGAGCATAATGTTTGACTTGATTGGTGAGAAGTCTTCTGTTGAAATTGGAAGATCTTCAAGATGAGCTGTAAAACTCGATATTAAGTTGGTGGTGAAGGGTCTGGAATAACGAACTCAATAACTAGATTATATTGAAATTTGCACCTCATATCGAACTTAAGTTTGGATTCTAGGCTCACCTTGAGCTCTGGGTTTGATTCAAACTCGAGAATTAGATCAACCTGTTTTTTTTTTTTTTGTTTCAAACTCTTGTTTAAACTTGGGTTCTGGATCTATATTTTTACTTGTTTCTACTCGCTGTAGTTCAGGCTCACACTCTTGATTAAAATATTTGATTCTGGCTCACGCTCAGACTCGGCCTTTGGTTCTATAATTTTTTTTTATCTTGCTCTACTTTCTCGTGTGACTCAAGTTGAGGCTTCAGATCTGGATTGAAATCAAATTTTGATTGAACATCTCGTCGGGGTTGAGGAATTTGTGTTGGTTTTGTTTCAGAATTTGAAGAGAAACAATGTCTTCTAGATGGTGGACTAGAGTATCTTCTTTCGAAAAGTGCTTTCGTAGTTATCCATGAACAGATGTTTGAATGACAATAGTTTCTACACCACTAATATTTTGCCTCTCTCTTTAGCCTAAACTCGGCATATAAATACATTTCCAGTTTTGATATATCATAAATAGAAAATATATCTTCTATATTAAAAATCCAGACGTCAAATTCATAAGGCTCCTCATATCCATCAAATCCATAAAGGTATGCTAGGGTACCAAATTTAAATGAATTAAAATCATACCCTTGTGAAGGAGGTAGCAGTATTTTATCCCTGATAATTGTGGATCTTTCATCTCTGATACCAAATGATGGTGGTCAGGGCGGGGGCTCCGATCCGAAAGTAGATGGCTCCCAAATGTGTTGCCTTCGACCCCAACCCACATCCGATGGGAAAGCACAAGATTCTCGATACTATGAATTTTGGTAGGTGCTCGAATCTGAACATGATTTGGAAGGGGGAGACGGTTGATTTTTTAGTCGTCGATGACTTTCCAGAGCCGTGGTCTAAGACCTTGGCGGCGAGGGAACATAACTCATTAAGGGACGATCAGAGGAGATTCGACGATGGCGATACTCAAGCGGAGGTCATCGTTGGGCTAAGCAATCAGATTCGAAGTCATCATCAGAGGCGAATGGTGTCGGATCTCAAGGCTGCAGCGCATACTGTTCATTCGTGAACAATAACTTTTTTTTTTGTTTGTAGTTGAGATCAGACATCTAAGATTGAAAATAGGAAAATTTTAGATAAATAACTAGGCCTCACACCTAGAGGCTTCATGCCCTAATAAAAGGCAAATCACATGCCAAAGAACACTTCACATGCTCAAGAGAGAATTCTCAAACTCATTTTTTTATTCATCAATGTCTATTCCTCATAAAGGATTACATTTCTTATTTATAGGAAAAGAAAGCCACTGAACACATAAATAAGTAAATAAAAATCCTAATCAAATCAAATTAATAAAACTAAAAGATACAATCAATTAAAATCCTAGCTAAAATAGAAAGAGATTTCAAAATCAATAACTAAAGAAATCCTAATCCTAACTAAAAAAAAGATTACATGGAATAAAATAAAATCCTACCAGAAAAGAAAAGATTCTAATAAATCCTAATCGCATTACATGGAGATTTCACCATCGTGCTGTATCACTTTTACCCCCTCCCTCCCTTAGGGGGTGTTTGTTTGCATGCAAGTGAAAGATGAAAGTGAGAAAGTTACTTTTATTTAACAATTAAGGCGTCAAGCAGACGAGTTGTACTATCGTGCTGGGGGTACGAATAAAACCAGGAAAAGGAGTCCCCAAGAAAAAGAAACTCAGTGCCCCTGTTCCAAACTCATTAGGACAGTATTGTCTGAATGCAGCTGCATCAAGGTGGTCCCCGAACAAATTTCGGTTTTCGAGAGGCTCAGTACTGAAACGCCGAAACCAAGGCCTAGGCGTTTCCGACGAAGAAGAACGGTGGTTGAAGAGGGAGAATTTCCGAGGGTCACCACCAACATGACCAGCAGAGGGACATCGGCGCGGGACAATCTCGAATCGATTCTGAAAGCATCCCGGCCTAGAACCCGTCAGAGGAGATTCGACGATGGCGATACTCAAGCGGAGGTCATCGTTGGGCTAAGCAATCAGATTCGAAGTCATCATCAGAGGCGAATGGTGTCGGATCTCAAGGCTGCAGCGCATACTGTTCATTCGTGAACAATAACTTTTTTTTTTGTTTGTAGTTGAGATCAGACATCTAAGATTGAAAATAGGAAAATTTTAGATAAATAACTAGGCCTCACACCTAGAGGCTTCATGCCCTAATAAAAGGCAAATCACATGCCAAAGAACACTTCACATGCTCAAGAGAGAATTCTCAAACTCATTTTTTTATTCATCAATGTCTATTCCTCATAAAGGATTACATTTCTTATTTATAGGAAAAGAAAGCCACTGAACACATAAATAAGTAAATAAAAATCCTAATCAAATCAAATTAATAAAACTAAAAGATACAATCAATTAAAATCCTAGCTAAAATAGAAAGAGATTTCAAAATCAATAACTAAAGAAATCCTAATCCTAACTAAAAAAAAGATTACATGGAATAAAATAAAATCCTACCAGAAAAGAAAAGATTCTAATAAATCCTAATCGCATTACATGGAGATTTCACCATCGTGCTGTATCACTTTTACCCCCTCCCTCCCTTAGGGGGTGTTTGTTTGCATGCAAGTGAAAGATGAAAGTGAGAAAGTTACTTTTATTTAACAATTAAGGTGTTTGTTTTCATGTAAGTGGTTATGAAAGTGAGATGTAAGAAAATTGCCACATAAGATTTAATGCAATTTTGGCTTCCCCTAAAAAAGTGGTGAAGTCACATGAAAGTGACAAAAAGGTAACTAATTTAATTAAATGATTTTAATTATATTTTCTAATTAATCTTATTTTGCCACGTCATCTTCACATTGCACTTTCGATAATAATTTAATTTTTCAAACAAACACTGTATTTCACTTGCGTGCTGACATGGATGTAAAAGTCATTTGCAAAAAAAGATAACTTACATATTTTAAATTCACTTTCAGATTGCCAAACACCCCCTTAATGCACTTTTGTTGAATCGTTTTAGCTGTGAGTGACTTATATTATTTGGTACGCGTAGTTTTTTATGTGAATTGGAAAGCAACCGACTTAAGTTCTCGGTTTCTTCCTTCCTCCCCTAAACCCCGTTTCTTGACTTCACTTATAAAAGTCACTAACGCATACTATCTTACAAGTTATTATCCAAACTTTGTCAAAAAATTAAAAAAAAAAAACAATTTAAAAAGTTTGATGTTTAGTGGTAACAATTTGATTTTAAATTAGCAAATGTTGGAGCAAGGGGCCTTTTAAATGCAGGAGATGTTACTGCAAAGTAAATCTAGAGGTGCAAAATTGTTATAAAGAGTTAATACTTTGAAAAAAAACAAGCATTAGTAGTTTATCTAGAAAGGGTTATAATATGTTGTACGGAGCAAATTATTGAACAACAAGAAGTTGTTGATGGTGATGAGCAACACAAAATGAGAAAAAAAAACCTCTTCCCCTCCCCTCCAAACACGTCTCTACAATAAAACAAAATTAAAAAGGAGGGAAAAAGAAAAAAGAAAAACGAAAGGGATGGAGACTGAAGGTTCAGTTGCCCTCATAGTCGGCGTCACCGGCATGGCCGGTTTCAGCATCGCCCAGGCCTTAAAACGACCGGAAGCTCCCGGTGCCCCTTGGACCGTCTACGGCTCATCTCGCCGGCCCCCGCCCTCCTGGTTCCCTGAAACCACCCTCGACCGGTTCCTTCAGCTCGACGCCTTAGACCGGGATTGGACGGTTCGAGCTCTCGCGCCGGTCGCAGCCCACGTGACCCACCTCTTCTGGGTGGCGCTTGCGTCACGTGAGTCGGAGGAGGAGAATATACAGGCGAACTCGGCGATGATGGCCAACGTCCTGCGTGCGTTGGTGTTGGGAGGTGGGTCCCGCTTGAGACACGTGGCGCTGCAGACCGGAACGAAACACTATTTTGGGCCGTTTGTGGATACGGTTAGCATGAGCCGGATTGGGCCGGTTGAGGTGCCATTTCGTGAGGATGCCCCGAGGTGAGTGTTATCAGCATTTGGATCCGGGTCGGGTGATTTTGTTTTTATGGAAAGTGTGCGATAAAAATTGTCAGCATAGTATAGCAATTTGTTTAGTAAAAGCTAGCTTATTTTAGTGATATTATAAGTTAGTTTCTCAAAAAAAAGCTAGAGTGTACATTTATTTTAAATATGGCTTATGGGCTAACTAATTTTGCACTTTAACAAACTAATATATGTGAGAGAAAAAACTAAGTTAAAAACTTAAAAGCTAGTTTGATCAAAAAATAAGCCCAACACTTTCTAAGTATTATCATGACATGGTTGATGCCGACAATATTTTGAGGCGTCTAACGAGCCTCTCTTATCTACCTCACGTTGATTTGTATGATGTGATTTCACACCAAACTAGAGAGAAGAAAAAGTACATTTCTTTGGCTAATATTCACGCCAAATTAGAGGCAAAAGATGCTGCAGGTTCTATGTGGCATCACATCAAACTAGTTCAAAGGACAATGTGCATGTTTGTCAATATACTTATAAGTTACTTATTTCATTTATATGTAAATTTTTACTTATTAAGTCATCAAATTCATGTTTGGTGAAGGGTTACTTATTTACTTATTTTTAACTTATAATTAAGTAGCTGAAAAATAAGTTGAGAAATCCCCACTTCTATTTTTTTCTACTTATAAGTAGTTTTACTTATTAATTCCAAAAGACAATTACACCCTCATATCCCTTTAAATATTTAATTATTCTAATTAAATATTGTCTTCTTATGAAATAATAAATTTAATTAATTAAATAATAATTTTATAAATAATTATTATTTAATGAATAAGAAATTAATTAAATAGTGTCAATATTAGTAACCGATAACCATCAATAATTTCATATATAAAATATATTAAACCAAATATTTTGGTATTATAAAATAGTTATTCTATTAATTATTTAATTAATAAGTACATTTACTAATAGTTACTATTTAATTAATTAGTAATATTTTTTATTCTGAGAAATAATTATTCTTATTAATTAATTACTAATTAATAAATAAAGTAACAAATAATTACTATTTAATTATTTTTTATAAATTTTATCTTTAAGAATAAATAATTAATCTTATAAGATAATTATTTATTTAATGAATAAATTTATTAAAAATTATTCTTTAATTAGTTTTATGATATTACTTGATTAATGAAAATATTACCATTACAAATCACAATAATGTAATATATAAATATGTTGATGATGGGTAACCAAACAGGCAAATATTTGTGATGAGATTGATGGGGGGCCGCTCCCTTCCCCGAATATCCGGTTCTGAGTTGAGTAGCTGAAGCCTGCACAAGTAGGAAATTGTGAGAGGACGGAGCTTGGTTCCCCCGTTGTACTTATGATGGGTAACCAAACAGGCAAATATTTGTGATGAGATTGATGGGGGGCCGCTCCCTTCCCCGAATATCCGGTTCTGAGTTGAGTAGCTGAAGCCTGCACAAGTAGGAAATTGTGAGAGGACGGAGCTTGGTTCCCCCGTTGTACTT